TAAGGTAATTATTCCAAAGAGGGAAGAAATGCCCCCCCATGCAAGGGGCCCCTGGTTCACTCCATAGGGTTAAGGTTATGGTTTATTCACTGTGACACAGAGTTGAGGCCACGTGTTTCCTGTGGAGAAACTGACTCTGACCTCTTGCTGCCCCCCTCCCCACAGATGTGGACTTTACACTAACTCTGCCATCCAGCAGTAATTTTTGCTACTTTATTGCCATTTGCAGCATTATTGCATTATTACAGTGTTCCCTGTAGTTATCATGATTTTTTTTATTTATTTAGTCACACATACCACTTTCTGCTGCTCCGTCATTGCCCAAATGAAACATTCCATCAGTGTTTACTTCCACATTATGTGTCAATGTTAACGCTTCAACTTCTTTGTGCTGTCAAAATGTGTGTTGTACTACTGCAAACCTGCATTTTCGTTCAAGGTTGATAAGTGTCCATCCATCCCAATAAGAACCAAAACAGATCGCCTCTAACCTAATGACATCGATCACTAAGTCCAGTTGTTCTGTATGTGTGCAGGGCGAGAGCATAATGAACATAATAACTAGGTGATAGGAAATTTGATAAAGGGATGAGGATGCACAAATAGATAAACATACAGTACATAACATTGATAAACATAATTAGGCTTATTAGGATAAATAAAAATCTTATTAACTTATATTGCGTGTCATGACCCGGCTCAGAGGCCATGGCAAAATCGAAGGACGCAGCGTTGAAAGCCAAAACAATTTATTACATTAACTACCACATATAAAACAATCAAAACCACGAGGGTCTACATAACCAACAAAAGTGTAACAAGGAGCACATAACGAAGCAAACAATGAGAGGTAGAAACAAGAGAGCCCTCCAGATGGTAAAGTAGGAGTGGTTTTAAGGAAATTAGGACACCGGGCCCAGGTTTCACCAATTCCACAAAGGGGCTGCGGCCGCACCTACAAAACACAAAACAAAACAACCGCAGGCAAGGCCAGCAGACCATCACATGCGCTACATTTATTTTATCTTACAGTACCCCATCGAGTGTCCGCATCCCACCTCTCTTATAATTCTAACTCGCATCCTTTTCCACAAATCAATTCCACACAAAAAACACAGTTTTTTCTAAAAACTAAGTACAAAACAACAAAATTCCACTTGCTGTATGGGTCAATGCACGTTTATTGAAAGACAATATTTTATATACAACATTTATATTCATTCAATAAATGATTATGGATTATGATGGTGAAGCATTTGTATCCACAGTTTCACTAGTGTTATTCGCCGTTTTCCTGGTGCATCTTTCCACTGGTCTGAAAAACACGCCTTAACTAGTATAAAAGTACCTTATATAGACCTGTTCCAAAATTTGACATTTTATAACTTTTATAACTTACATTTATAACTCCCCTGTAACATGTTTACTGATTTAAAAATACGTAAAAATATTAATTCCACACAATATATTGCAAGTATTTTGTTTGAAAATTGTTTCATCCTTGACGTTTCGTCTAGACTGAAGTACCATCACCAAATCAATGTGTACGTTTTAAAGCTTAACAGCAGGATCATTTGAGCTTTGACGTATAACTTCCTGTATGTCCCCAATCGGAGGACGTTGGGTAAAGTAAAACGACACCCAACTTCAGTTCCTTTAAAGTCACTGCAGAGTCTGTACAGTTGCTAGCACGTCCCAGATTTGATAAAAAACCATGTCGTTTGTGGACACAATTCGGCAGTGGGACCGGGGGGTCGCACATGCCGATAAGAAGGCTTGGGCAGCTGCACTTGAGGTCTTCTTGGACATCCAGGAGAAAAATTCAAAAATATTATTCAACATTGGCTGTCTCTATCTCATCAATCAGGAATTAGATGCCGCTGAAAAGGTATGGGGTGTTTTCTGTTTTTATTTTAACTGTACCATTCAAGAGAAATAATGGTAACACTACTTGATGGGGCACAAATAAAATCTTATTATGCTATTACTTATGTATTAAAGACAAACTCGAAATAATATATAGGAAACCAAATCACTTCTCTCACATTTGTGTATTTTCTTGAAGTCAGATTTCTGTTGCTGCGATGTGTTGTCACTGGTGAAGTGCCAGTCATTGTAGAAAAGGGATGTGAAAGTCTTTTTATAGCTCGCCCACCTGATTGTCAGTTTTCGGTAATTCCCTCTAGGCTTTTGATAACAGCATCAGCAAAGACGAGCACTTGGCGGTCGCCTTCTTCCAAAGAGGAACAATGTTTTACAAAAAACAGAAGTACGTTTCAAAATTTGTGTAAATGTATTTGGAACTTAATACAGAAATAATTTCGCAAGCAGCAATTGTAGAAGTAGGACTATAAAGTAACAAGTAGGGCTATGAACACGTTTAATGACATTTGTGGATATTTTGATCCCCATTTGTGATCTATGCAAACCCACACACACACACACACACACACATATATTCCTTTTCACAATATCTAGTCTATTGCAATATTATCTTACAGTACCTTATAATAACAGCAGTGCACGTTATTATAACACAGTAGTCCTAAATATGACTTGCCCCCAATATAGACCTACATGCTGACTATTCTTCTAATACTTTCACAGGTTTGAGGAGTCTTTAGGAGATTTTCAAAAGGCCTTCAAATTGTTACGAGGGAACCAGCTGATTGATTACAAGCTGTTGGGGCTGAGATACAAGCTGTATGCGTGTGAGGTGAGAGCATCGGCCAATGGCGTGAACCTCAGTGACTGGGTGTTATATATAAAACTTACGCTGTCTTATTAGTAATTAATAAGCTACAAACTAAAATACATACTAAATTGCAAACTATTTAAATCTAGTCAAGTTTTATGATTTACCTTGGAGTGTACCTATGGACAAACCTCACAGATTATTAGTGTAAGTAAAACAGCGCCCTCTTAAGTTTGTTTGATATATGACAGCTACTCTAGGCCTGTTGACCTGTACAGCATATCCAAGTTGGCCTTTTGTTAATAATATTTAATACATCAGTAATTAAATGACATAATTAAAACCAATTATTATATCATTATTACTTGACCAACTATTATATTCATTATTACTTGAACCGTGCTCAGATTTTTTTGAGAGCTATAATTTAACTTTTAATTATTAATTAAGAATGAGTTTATTGGGTCCTAATTTGTCATTAAACACCTGTTTTGTTTTATGGAAAGAGCCCCCCCCCCCCACAGCCTGCCAGACACATTCACTAAACTGATTTTGGTATTGATGATCGTATTGTGCTAATTTAGCTCAGTAAGCAATGTGCAAAATTAATTAATATGCAAAGCTAACTAATGTGCATCATTATTTGAGTTTTTTATGTTTATTACTTATTGCTGCTCACAATGATCCTGAGAGACTGAGCTGAATAAAACAGTCACTACCGGATGTTTTTACCAAGCAATGGACACAAATAAAATAGTCAGCCTATGGTAGCTAAACTGCATGGAATAAAACGAAAACCTTCTCATAACCCCAAAAACTAACCTAAGAAATAAGAAATAGAGCATGCCCTTGCCCTCATGTGTAGTTTCAGTCCTTATTTATCCACATTTTACCTACATGCCTTTGTTTTGACCCCCTCATGGTCCCTTTAAGTTTGTGTCTTCTGAGTTTAGTTTAAAATAAAATCCATTTTTGTTACAAAGCCACACCACAGGTCATCCCGTTATGCCCTGCCGTGACACTGATATAGTAAAACTAGTTTACTCTCTAAATGGTCCAGCCAACATACAAGCAGATTTCTCTATTCAAAAAGTAATGAAATCAGGTACCTGAAATGATATGACCGCCATGGAGGACATCTTGAGTTTATCAACAAGCATCTCTCTTAAGCTGTTGGGCCAGTGAGCACCACGACGTTTGAATTGCTCCACATCTGTTATATGTGGATACGTCAAGGGCCAGTTGATTAGTTACACCTACTTGCTAAAGCAAACAGGCTAGTCTGCCAGTCAGAAGTCAGAGGTATCTTTACTGTCATTGGCTATGCATTAGCCCAGTAAAGATGTATGATTGCTGGTGCCAGATCTAGTGGTTCCAGCCTCTCAGAAACACCCTCCTGGGATTTTCACATAGTACATTGTCTAGGGCAGGGGTCACCAACCTTTTTGAAACTGAGAGCTACTTCACGGGTACTGAGCCTTACGAAGGGCTACCAGTTTGAAACGCCCTCCTAAACTTATCTAAACTTCATGTATAATAAACATGTCTTAAATGCTTTTTTTTTTTAGATGTTGTCGTTTTCAAATCTATATAAATGCAAATGTGATTAAAGAAGAATAGCAACAGGATAAAATTAAATTTTAGACGCTGCTCACTGGTGAGTTGTGCTATTTCTATAACTGGTCCGCGGGCGACTCATGTGGTCCTTGGGGGCATCCTGGTGCCCGCGGGCACCATGTTGGTGACCCCTGGTCTAGAGTTTACAGAGAATGGTGTGATGAACAGAATGGGGTGAAACGCCATTAATGACAGAGGACTGTGGGAATCGAATAAAACGGCCACAAGAGCAAAAATACCAGCTCAATGCAGCAGTGATACGCAGAGGGATCAGTCGGCATCACTGGCCTACAGCAGTCAATGTTCAGTATTTAAGGGTCAAGTCTGACTGATACTTCATTGCTTTGTGGTATTGTCAGGCAGTTCCACACTGATGCAGAGTCTAATGCAAGGCTGGCTCATCTCATATCCATCTTGTGCATGTACAGTACTGTGCAAAAGTCTTAGGATGTCAAAGATAAAGATGTTTAAATGATCTTCAACTAAAACTATGATGTCTGTCAAAGTGCGTTTGCTTTGCCATTTCAAATCGTCTCCTAAAGTCACCCCAGTAAACATCCGATATAATCATGTTTGGATAAACGACACGTCAAGAAATTAACTAATTACATTAATCAATCAAGTAAGCTGGCAGTGAAATTGAACAAATACATGGAATGGCTGAGGTGCCCCTGAGGAGCGGTTTTGGAAGCAAAGCGATGTTCATCTAGCCATCCAACAAAATACCAGTGATTTTGAGAACACAAGAAATTCTTATTTTTTATCATGTTACTGTTCACTTGCATATACTCCAAAATCTTTTCTGAGCAAAAAAGTAGTAGTGATGGCCAAATGAAGCTTCGTGAACCATTTGCGGTATTTTTTGGTTTGGTTTGTTTTTTTAGTACGCTTTGGGCTCTTTTTTGAATAGAGAGCACCATCTAGTGGTGTCTAAAAATGCAGCAAATGGTTCATGAAACTTCATCTGGCCATCACTACTTACTACCCAGATAAACAGCTTTAAACATTTTTTGACAGCCTATGGCTTTTGCACAGTACTAAATGTAAGAATGTCTATGTCATATAGATTATTTCCAGATAAGGGGTAAAGGTCCTGTGACCCTGACCCGCCAGGTGTTGGTCCATCGGTTCTTCTGAAAAGGATGTGGAGCATATGCACAACCGGTCCATAATCTGAATTTCTGTTCTGTTTCATTGTCCTTTGTATTTGTTCCTAATAGATTCTTCACAATGTGGCTCTCACACAAGCCCAGCTAGATCAATGGGAGAAGGCTCAAGAGAGCTTACTTACTGCATTAAGCCTGAAGACGGAGTCCAAGCACGAGCTTGTGGACCGAGCTCTGCAGTCTATTTTGGTGAGTATGTCAAGTTCATAATCATGCACATGTTCTTCTTGAGGCTCAGTGTTTGTTTTTCAATTGGGTTATACAGTATAAGAATCACATTTGACACCTTGTCTTCAAAGTGCTTAAAATCTATAAACAAATAAAATTGATGGAAGCTTATTTTATCTGGTAAATGTGACAATTTTTGTTGTCTTAGATGATTAAAAGAGAATTTATTAGAGTTATGGTTTAAATTTGCAGGTAAATATTTATTAACTTAATACCATAGTTTAATCATATCACATGCACATTTTATTTTTTCATAGCAGAAACATCTATCTATCTATCTATCTATCTATCTATCTATCTAGCTATCTATCTATCTATCGAATTATTTATTTATTCAAAAGCAGGGTCAGATAGTTTCTGGAGCAACTGAGGGTTAATGGCCTTGTGCAAGGACCTAACAATGAAGTTACTCTGTCCTTATTAATTATTATTTTCCAGTCCCCAGTCAAAGGTTGTGTTTCCCTCCAAAACTGATAGAATTGAAATAAAACATGCTATAATTTCCAGATGTTTACTGAACACTTCCACTAGCTATTCCATGTCCGCGAAAATACGTAAGATTAAAGTTTGAAATTCTGAAATGAGTTCCAATGTGGGAAGACAGGATTAGGCAATGTTTACGTCTGATTAGAAGACACTTTAACTTGGTCAGAAGCATCTCACAAGTGAGGATCACAAACCAGGATCAGCGAGTCCCTGGAGCAGTGTGGGTTAATTGGGGCCCAAGAGCCCAACAGTGACATCACTCTGCTGGCCAAGGGATTTGAACAGGCAACCTTCTCCTCACATGCACAGAGTTCTAACCTACAGAGTCTCACTCCATCCATGTTTTCTCCCTGACAGAAGCACAAGCTTTTTGCTTTGGTGGAGATGCAGCCAGGGATCCTATTCAGACCCCGGAAACATTACGTGGATGAGCTGGAGAACAAGGATTACATGGGCAAGGCCAAGGTATGCTGATCCTACAGCCATGTTTAGAAGAAACCATAGCCATCATCTGGGAATTGGACTGCTAAAGTGTAGATCAGTAGGCCTGTTCTGCAAGGCCTGGCTTAAGTGTACAGAAAACTAGAAACTGTTCATAATCTTTACATTGCTGATTCTCAACCAATGGGTTACGACCTTTCTCACTGGATCGCAGAATGTATGGATTTTTTTTTTCTATCGTCTTTTTTTGGTTTTGAACAGTGCATGTTACTCTCGATGTTCTATTTACTATTACTGCACTATTTTTCGTGAAATAAATTTGGTTCAAAATGTAAAAAATTTGTGTCGTAACTTAATTAGCAAGGAAAAATGTAGGTCCTGAGGCCAAAACAGTGGAGCAGCACTGATCTACATGTCTCCTGTGCAACTATAAAACTTCTCATGTATTAACAAGTGTTAGTCAGTTAGAGTGTCAGAAAATTTTAATGATACTGACCAATTATACAGTATATGCATTTTGTACATTTACAGTTAAATGTATTAATTTGTAGTGTTCCTCACATGAATACCATGAATTCCATTCCCCCTGCAGGTCATTGCCTCTATAATCCCTCAGGACGAGTTTTCTGGGTTTGCGCCTTTGCAGCCTCGGGTAAGCTCATCCTCTAGATTACTAGTGACCCCAATCGGTTGTTCTTTAGAAGAATATCGGTGGTCTTACCCGCATACTATGCATCTATTTTATATGGATGCCGTGGGCACGTGGGTGGGGTGGAATGATATGCTTGTGATCAGAAAGTCGCCAGTTCAAATCCCTGCGTTGACAAAATAATATTATCATTGGGCCCTTGAGCAAGGCCCTTAACCGCAGTTGTTCTGGGGCTTGACTGACATCACTTTGAACATCACTTTGAGTAGAAGCATATTGTAAATAAATATGCAATTGGATATTATTATGCTGGTTTTGCAGGCAGTATCCCTGTTAACACATACTGTGTAGTTTCCTGATTGGTTATATTTACCCATTCTCCATTGCGCTGTCTTGCCCTGCTTCTGCCTATAAGTTACCTATGATGTGATGCGATCTTTTACAATGCTGCTTATCCATTTAATATAACCTCTTAACCAATGTATGGTCACTAATCCCAGGAACAGCAGTTATGCTTTTTTCAGGATGTCGATCCAACACTGGGCACAGAAACACAAACAAATCTAATCGAATACACAACTGTATAGTATTCAGCAGTACATGCAGGCAATGAAATGAGTCAAACAAGCACACGGTATATTAGTGGTAGATTGAAAAACACTACATATAATGAAAGAAATTTTGCATTTCGTGGGACCCACAATTCAGTTATTTCTTTTTACCATTTTCAGGCAGAAGATGTTCCTGTTCAGCCCAAAATGCCAGAAGTAATAAAGTAAGAAGAACACGTTGTTTTTCTAATTAAAAGTATGTGTAAACGATACCACAAGACGGGATAGAGTATTAAGGAGCACATTCAAAGTCAGAAATGGAAACAACACGGGGGTAGCTTTCTGGAAAATGCTACAGTGGCTGCTGCACAGATATTGTGGTCTGGTCACAGGCGACTACACCATCATAGATAATAGTAGGGGGACCCTGATCATTTTAACGTACCACTTTTAAAGTTCATACTTCATAGGTGTTGTAATGCATAGTTGCACTCCATGTACATGCTGTATGCATTCAGTCAGTTCAGTCATGCTGCATTCATACGGATGGTTGAGTTGTGCTGTCTGCATTCAGTCGGTGCAGTTGTGCTGTATGCATTCAGTCATTTGAGTCATGCTGTATATGTACAGTCGGTTCAGTCATTCTGTATGCATTCAGTGGGTTCGGTTATGCTGTTTGTATTTAGTGGTTTGATGAGCTGGTGTATCAGATAGAGTAGCCCCTGAATATACTTTTACATTCCTTTTGGACATACTATGTAAAAATAATAATAATAATTATTATTATTTATTAGATAGAGTGGGCCCTGAATATACTTTTACACGCCTTTTGAACATACTGTGTAAGTGTGACTGGTACTTTTTAACAGTATCGTTCCCTTCCACAGAGCGCTGGAAGGGGAGCCTCACAGCGTACTGTACGAGTTCATCCCGGAGACAGAGAATGAGCTGGCTGTGTTACCAGGCAACATTGTATTTGTGCTCCAGAAAGATGCTGATAATTGGGCATCAGTCATCTTCAATGGAAAGGCGAGCTGCCTCCATTCCCTCCTTTACTTTCAGTCATTCAGTGTCTTCATCTGTCTTCTACTGTAATCATACTTGTTTCTTTCTTGCCTGTGTCAAAATTTCCCTCTCTCACTGTCCCTGTTGCAGGTGTTGAGAGCCTTAATTCAATCATAGTGAAACTGGCCTCCATCATTTATTAGGCTGATAAAACCAAACTGTCTATTCAGTGCGTTTGAGTGCTTGTACAATGATGTTTCTCTGTATGTGTGTTATTAAGTACTGGCTTGCTTGTTAGTTTGGATTAGTGTGTCAGAGAAGATAGTACGTTGTTAGATGCATAATCCCTGTCAGTTTGTTGTAAATGTGTTCTGTGTCTTAAATGAAAGACTGATCCGGGCAGCTGAACTATGCTCAGATGGAACCATTAGGAATGACGTCGAGTCGAGTAATTAGCATTGCACTGTACATTATTCTGGACCATTTTAATGTGTATATTTGTTAAAAGTAATTTGCTCGGGGAGTTGCACTGGGAGTGAAATGCATATGTTTTTTTTTTTAAATATAGATTGGTCTCTTAATTTTTTCCAGAGCTCTATCTGTGGCATTTTGTGGATGGGGAGGGTTATCTAAAAGAGTGTAATTTAAGACTTACATTAGCTGTGCAGTGCAGTTCAGGCGTTTGGTCCATGGAGTAACATGGTTTTGATGCTGAATCATAGTGATGGCTAAAACGATGCCTCATAAACCACTTGCTGTATTTTTTGTCGCCACTAGATGGGGCTCATGGTTAGTTTGGGGCATGCTTGAGCCCCTCTTTTGAACAGAGAGTACTATCTAGTGGGGTCAGAAGATACAGCAAATGTTTTATAAAGCATCAGCCAGCACTACTGAATAACAAAGGGTGCCTGAACTATTTTGGGATAATTCTGGGTGTTTCAGTTTGGATCTTTTGTTGGTTAAAATATTTGGAAAGACTGTGCTCTGATGTAATGCTTTCTGATATCTTTTCACAAACTGTTTCAGAGAGGACTTGTTCCATATAATTTTCTGGAACCTGTGGAAATAACCCTGTCTTCCAAGCAAGGACAGGTAACTGCTTTTTAAATAAAAATGCTATACATATTTCAACAGACTATGTATTAAAATCACGTCACCTTGCTGTAGGGGGGCGCTGTGAGTGATGTCATCCCAGCCCCACCCATAGGAGTACCTCCAGTCAGGCCACAGAGGAGAGAAGGAAGCACAGGTACCGAATCCCAAAGGAAAATTATACAAATGAACCATTTGTCGTTTTTTGTTTTTTTTTTGCCCCACTAGATGGTGCTCTCTGTTCAAAGAAGGGGACAAAGCATGCCTCAAAGCGGAGCAAGAGCACCATCTAGTGGGGTCAAAAAATACAGCAAATGGTTCATGAAACGTTCTTTTGTCCATCACTAATACTCACTGAAGAAAGACAACATTTATAATTATATATAATGTAGTTGTACACACTACTACATTGCACATATACTGCATTAGGGGGGCAGCGTGTGGCTCAGTGGGCTAAGCCTGTGTGCCTGTGATCAGAAGGTTGCCAGTTGAAACCCAGCCTCAGCTCGTCTGCGGGTCCTTGAGCAAGGCCCTTAACCCCCAGCTCCCTGGGCGCCCCAACACGTGGCTGCCCTTCACAGGCAACTTACTCTACAAAGAGCAAGTTCAGGGAGACATAAAAAAGAGAATTTCCCTATGGGGATCAGTTATTTTTATTAATACTTCAATAAACCAATAATTAAGAGTTCATCATTATCAGTCATGATGGTTCATATATTTCATGCAGGAGCTAATTTAGCTAATAATGAACTAATTATTTAACAACCAAAATAGTTCCTGCATGGGATACATGAACCATCACGATTGATTAAAAACAAACATGGGATAGGTACATAACTAACACCTAGTTACTGGTTAATTCATGCGTTAAGTAAGCATGTATTACTACATTATTTGTACCCGCTGAAGTAAACTGTGACCCCTCCGTGAATCACTACCTTATTGTGGTGGAGGGGTTTGTGTGCCTCTGTGATCCAAGGAGCTATGTTGTTGGGGTTAATTGCCCCTGTTGGGTGTCTCAAAGAAAATTAGTTATAGGTGAGTGGCTAGACTAATTCAGAACACCCCCATGACAATTACTACAAAGGAAAATGTGACTCCGGCTGGACTGAGGAGACCGGGGCTCCGCCCTGAAGCCAGGCACAGAGGGGGAGCTCATGGGTAAGCGCCTGGGGGCCAAGCCCCTGACCATAGGGCCCGGCTGGGCATGGCCCAAGCGAATAGAGGAGTGCACTCTTCTGTGGGCCTTCCATCAGCAGGAGAGGCTGTGGGGGTCGGGTGCAGTGTAGATCGATGGCAGGTGAAGGCAGGGGCCCCGACAGGCCAATCGTCAGCAACCAAATCTGGTTATAGGCACATGAAACGTAACCTCTCTGGTGGGAAAGGAGCCGGAGCTGGTGGGGGAGGTAGAGAGAAACCGACTAGATGTAGTAGGGCTCAGTCCTCAACCGAAATCCTGGAGAAGGGCTAGACTCCAATACACTCTAGAGTGGCCCATGGTGAGAGGCCAGCAGGTGTGGGTCTACTTATAACCCCCCAGTTTGGAGCCAGTACGTTGGAGTTTACCCCAGTGAATGAGAGGATTGTCCTTCGACTTCGTGTCAGGGGATGCACCAAGAGCTTGGATGGAGTGCCCCTCTGGGGACTTCATCGTCCATTGCTTCTGAGCTGAGCTAAGCCTTAGAGATAGGTTGCAGAGCTCAGTGATTCGGACAGAGCCAAGAAGAACTGCTGCTCCTCCGCATCGAAAATAGCCAGTTTAGGTGGTTCGGGCATTTAACTAAGACGCCTCCTGGATGCCTCCTTGGGGAGGTGCTGCAGGCATGTCCAACCAGGAGGAGAACCCAGGGCAGACCCAGGACACGCTGGAGAGATTGTATCTCTAGATTGCTCCTCCCCCGGTGGAGCTGGAGGAGGTGGCTGGTGAGACGGAGGTCTGGGCATCCCTGCTTAGACTGCAGCCCCCATGACCCGACCCGGGATAAGCGGCAGATAATGGATGGATGCATGGATGGATGGACTTGTATTTATACAATATAATTCAATACTTTGTGTTTCATATCATTATAAAGCTAGGTTGAGAATTTTGACCATAAATTAATGTTTCTTCATTTAATTAATGTTAACACTAAAAGTCACTTCTGCTTTTATCCTTGTGAAAATTACAACGTTTTTTCTTTTGACAGACTTTTCAAAAGACGCAAATGCTGCGATGGAAGGCACAAAGGTATGAAATGAAATTAGTCCACAAAATGTTTGTATGAACCATAATATATATGTCAATATCACCTTGGCATGATGGAGTGGTTTGCGTGCCCTAACGTTCCATGCAGATTAGGGCTGCCTCAAACAACTATTTCTATAGATTAATCTATCAACTAGGATCCAACAAAAAGCCCAGTGAAAGGCACTAAGGAGAACTAAGGATGGGCAGGGAATCATGTTAGTAGGGGGGGGGGGGGTGTTTGACGGAGAGTTCCTGGTGGCATCCAGGTAACCAGGCAGGACTCAGTCTGAAATGGCTACGTGGAACCATCTTCTGGGTTTGCAATCCATAATCTGAAAGTTCAGGGACAGTGTAAGTGTCGGCACCTGACCAAGTCCGATGGCCTGGCCCAAGATAATAATGGTGGGGGGGGGGGTCATGGAGGTAATACTTGTCAGCTGGGTGTTATGAGTGATGATGGTGAAAGTTGTTGACCTGGGGGGTTGTTACTGGTTTGTGGGGGCCCACTTCTGTGTACTGACTCTGGGCAGTGGCGCTTGACTGGCAGGAATGGGGGTGCAGAACCTGGACACCTTACACCTTGCTAATGGACACTGACCTTGGGAATGTGGGATATTACCTACTTGGTTTGGAAGGAGCCAGAACTAGTGGTGAAATTTAATAAATACATGGAATGGCTGAGGTGCCCCAAAGAGAGGTTCCGGAACTGAAACGGTGTCCATCTAGCCATCCAACAAGATATCAGTGACTTTTTGTAGAACAAATTAAATAATTGTTTCTTTTAATTGTATTTTTTTCTATTGCATTACAGTTTATTTCTCAATATCCATATAAATAACTTTAAACAATAGTGTATATATTGCACAAATGTGTACTTCCCTATACTTATTAAACAAAACCTATCATTTAAAAAAAATAAATGGAAAATGCAATTCTGTTTTTGTTCTATAGGATGAAGAAATCCAATTCTGTGTTGTGAAAGTACACTTTAGATACACATTAGCGATCTGCGTAATCCCTGGAGCAGCATACAGCGTCGTCCTGCAGAAAATTGGAGAGAAGCTAAAACTGCCTATTCAGCATGTAACACTAAGGTTGGGCACAACACCGATCACTAATGAAAAACTCCACATTTAGCCTTGTGCATATAGTGTTTTGGAAAAAGAACCAAAAACTCTCATTCCATCCTATTTTCAATTGCACAATCATTTCAAACATTTTTTCAAGCTTATTTTTATACTGAACCATAATTCTGGGTTTGCTGACCTTTACTGTAGCTTGAAAGTAATGCACCCAAACTCATCTCTTTGCACAATGGATTGGATGCATGGATGGGGAGCCAGTGGATGGGGGCAGTGTGTGGCTCAGTGGGCTAAGCCGTGTGCCTGTAATCACAAGGTCACCGGTTCAAGCCCAGCCTCAGCACGTCTGCGGGTCCTTGAGCAAGACCCTCAATCCCCAGCTCCCTGGGCGCCGCTACAGGTGGCTGCCCTTCGCGGACAGCTTGCTCTACAAAGAGCAAGTTGAGGGAGGCGTAAAAACAATTTCCCCACAGGGATCAATAAAGTACCAATTATTATTATTATTGACTTTTTCATCCCAGTGTCCATTTCAGACTTTTATTTTACAAGGTGCCGACCCTGCTTGGAAGTTGGAGCTTTCTGTCCACCATTTTTGTGCTTCCAATGACCTAAAGTCAGGTTTCCTCATTGCATGTTAAAGTTTTGGGAACCAAAACTCATTCAGTCCAGACATCTCTCCCGGAAGTTCCTGAAATCTCCTACAAATTAACAGCAGCACCTTGGCCCCCGTGAACGTCCCAGCTATCTCTTCTGTTGTTTTTATATAGTCATACTGTCTGAACCACTGTACTGTATATGGTATTTTGATGATCTGATGATATAAAATTTACCTAGGGGGGGTTGGGGGTAATTTAGAATGAAAATACTGCTGGATATGGTATTAACATAATACTGCTCATCCTGCCCAGCACCCCCCCCCCCCCCCCAATTCTCCCTTATGGACCTCCCTGAAATCAATATACCTAAGGTGGGATGTCTGTTGATAGCAAAGGCTGAATTTTTTCTATAAATGTAATGATATTACGTACCATACCTTAGGAATGACCTAAATCAGTGGTTCTCAAACTTTTTACGCCACATACCACCTCTGAAAGTATCAGGTTCTCCACCTACTAGTTTAATGACCGTTGTCATCATCAAAGGAGATACCTCCGTGTATCACTTTTCAGGAACTCACCTACCAATGTTTGAGAACAACTGATATATTGACATAATCTAGCAAAACAATGTATCTAGACATATTGTGTTATGAAACACCTATTTTCCAGTTACACAGAAAAAGACTCTGGTCAGAGAGTAACAGTCAATGAGTTGGAGATGAAGAAGGTCTGGAAGAGTGTCCAGAATGGCCGTCTGGTCTTGTGGTGTGATGTCAGCTGGACACAGCAGAGTCAGTGCACAGAGGTAAAACATCTAGAAGATCATTCATGAGTGGAAATTAATATGACAAAGGGTTGGGGGAAGGTATATTAGTCTGACAACAAAATGTCATTGCACACTTAGTACTGAGCTTCTTGCATTCTCTTCCTTTTATTGTAGTTCAGGATCAGTCTATAGCAGGGGTGGCCAATCTTATCCGCAAAGGGTCGGTGTGCATGCAGGTTTTTGGGATAATCGTTAGGTCAGCTGTTCAAACCCAGGAGTGAGGAGTCTTCAGCCAGCCAGTCCTCTAATTAGTTATCTAATTGGAGAATTTCAGTGAAATCCTCTATCTCTTTCTGGACAAGATTGGTTACCCCTGGTCTATAGGCTGCTTGGAATCAGGGCTATATGGTACTTAACCAGCACTTGTCATCACAGCAGAGTGTCGCGACAGCGGACCTTAAGAAAGTGGTGGCTCTCCATTCCTATGCAGCCTCACAGCCAGAGGACCTTGCATTTCACCGTGGCGATGTCATCACGGTCCTTTCCAAAGGTCAGTATGAAGATTGAACTGAAGAGTTTAAGGAAAGTGGGTTAATGTAGAAAGTATATAGAGTGGTACCTTGGAACACAAACTGAATTTGTTCCAGAAGGCTGGTCGAGTTGCGATTTGGTCGAGGTCCAAGTCGAAATTCAGCGTAAGAAATAATGTAAATAAATTTAATGTGTTCCAGCCCACCAAATGATTGCCTATTTAGACTCTACCCAACTAATGATAAAAAGCATTAACAATCAATATAAAACTATTACACACATGAAAAGCACACGTACAAAAAGTGATAAACGTGAAATAAATGACAATCTCACACTCCAAAGTGAGAGCAGACTCACGTGCACCACCTCCAAGTCTCACTATAAGTTGTACAGTTACTCTCACTACTTTCCTCTTCGGTTTGCTGCTATCACTGGTGACTTTCTTAGGGAACATGATTACTGCATCACTAAATGTACTGTAGATAAAGCACAAATAAATGCACACCAAACACAGGAACACGGCTTTCACACGTTGAACTTGGTCGAGAGGTACTGTGAGACTGAGAGTGAGTCATAGGCATCGGCATCCCAGTATCCGTTTGCCTTTTTAGAAAAACATTATGGGGCAAAAAAAGAGTCATGATGGTTTTGAAAGACAACTTGAATCCCGTGTTTCTGTTTTTAAAAAGGATTACAAAAGCACAATGAAATCATTTTTCAGGCTTCTAAGTGGCATAATGTTATTAGTAGACAGAAATGAACATAAAAGTTCCAATACTTGCCAGGCATGTAAAAAACATTATCCCAAATTTCTCTTATGTCATAGGAGCTGAACATTACTATAACTTTTCTACAGAAGTCACAAGCTAGTCATTAGTGTCACCTGTAGTGTTGGGCTGTGTCTCTTGGTTGAGCCTCCATTGCACCAAGAGCCAAATTTTACTATTTTTTTTTTCAATTCACATTTAAGACTGTTTAACATTGTTTGAACTTGTGAGAAGTTCTTCACAATTGAGCATGTTTTTTTAAACAGAAACTCACTGAGGCTTAATTAGTGGGGATACATCTGAACTTTTATTCAGTTTTAAAATGTTAATGAGTGCTTTTTGATTACAGTTAAAATAAGACATTGACCTGCCTTCTGTGATAATTTAAGAATCAACTAAGAAGTCTACAAAACTAATAAGAATATTTATTCCTTTTAGTGAATGATGAATGGTTCGAAGGACAATATGAAGATAAGGTGGGGATATTTCCAGCATCTTTTGTGGAAAACATAGGCAACAACGACCCAGCCTGAAGATGTCAGGAAAAACTATTCTAAAATAATGACATTTGAAATATACCTGCTACTGCTTTTAATTACTTGTATTGTTTTCCTTATATGGCATTATTGATGATTAAATACTGAGAAATATAGTATTTGCAAGCAATTGTCTGCTTCTTTGGGAATGAGCAAATGTACAGTATGACACCCCATGAAAACTGGTGTCTTTATTAAAATAGGGAAACATCTTCATTTTAACAATACTGACAGATTAAGGAAATATAACTAAACAAACAAAACTGAAGAAATGTCTTTTAAAAATGTTTTGTAAAAATGTAATTTATAGAACAATTTCTTGTGTTAAGTTAGGATACTATCAGATTTACTTAAAATGAATCTAGAATTAGATTCAGGTGCAAATAATTAGAAAATTGGTACTGAACATTTTGGAGGAGCATGTCTTATTGAAACCTCAGAGATTAGTTTCAAATAAAGTATCAATGTTCTAAAAAAAGACAAGAAAATACAGAACATTAGTATCCACTTTGAAAATGTACAGAGAAATGTGTCATTGTACCGTACAAGCTGTTTATTTTAGAAATACTCACAGTACCATCATGTACATATGCTACCTATTTCCCGTAAGGAGTAATGAGCTACGTGGCTTCTCACCATACTCACCATACTCACCATACTCACCAGCTTAATCGCCTGTGTGGATGTGGAGCTACGGCCCGCTGTGGGCATGCTGGCTATGCTGGCTATGCTCGGTCCGGCAGCATTTCCCAAAGGCAGCTTGCTCTTCGTCCTGTTGCTGGTGCTTGTGGTTGTCCTCATCGTAGTCGCTGCCTTGGTGGTCCTCACCCCTCAGGCTGGAGCAGCTCTCACATGGGGAGTCCATGTCACATCTCTTCTTCTTCATTTTGCATCTCTTGGACCTGCTACTGGAGTTCCTCTCGCATGTCTCCTGGCCCCTAAAAGGGTATGAGATGCAGGCCACTATAACACTATATAAGAATATTGTGTTTGCTATTCAGGTTAAACAGACGCTGAAAACATTAGCAAAAATAAAGACTTTTGCCAAAGACCCACCTAAATGCATCATGATACACGAAGAAATTAACTGAAAAATCTCCTAGTACTTCAGGTTAGCTCTTTGTCATGGAAACTCACTGGTCGTTACGGTACATAACCTTGACATTCTTTTTCATGTTGGATGTTTTGTGTGCTTGGCAAGACACTGCTCCGAGTGCCAGTTCTGCTCGGGTAGGAACACATGGGCGCTTCTGCTGTGGTGAGGGCGTGAGTGCCAGGTCCCGCCATGGTCACTGTCCTGAGTATGGTGCCCCCATCTTCCTCTTACCTCTGAACGGGGCCTCTGACCACCATAATTCTAAAGCAAAAACCAGATATAGACTGCAGCTAGGTATGGTGAACTGATTTTACTCGAATCAGAACATCTACACAGTAGTAACAGTTAACAAGTACCAATGTGTCTTGAGGTATAATTATATATTAATGTTTAAATAAAGGAAAAAGTGCTTCATCAGCATTCATGAGAATTATATAGCAGAAGATCTATAATATCACTTAATATAATCGTGTATCACCATAGTCTACTTATGTTTGCCATGTAAGTATTTTTCCACCTGCAGTTGAAAATCACAAGAGTAACATATCATTCCCATTTTGCTTTGGTTGACACTGATGATCTCGTAAGACACATTCCGTCGTGGGCAGGACTGGCCGGGCATCCGACCAGAATGGTTGTGTTCCATTCTGATTCTCAAATCTGGAGTCTGGCAAAATCATCTAAGCATCTCACCTGATGTAAAACAGCACATAGGCTTGTTGGTTGAGGACGGTTCTGATGGCGCTGACAGTGACTGAAGTGTCATTCATCAAATACCATTGGCTGCTGCTGTCCTGGAACAAACCAGTGGGTTTTCAACCACATGCTCATGCTGAGCTTGTAGTAAAGCATTGCAAGCCAAAGCAATGAAAGGGCCCCACATGACTAACCTTCACATAGTAGTAGTAGTAGTAGTAGTAGTGTCCAGCATGGCAGCTGACTCCCGAGTAAACCAGCATGGTGTACAAATGGTAGATCAAGGGCTCTCCATGGGAAAGAGACATAAATGAATGCATGTCCAAGTACTCAGGGTGTCTCACACTCTGGGGAAAACAGCAAGGCTCATTTTAATTGCAAGAAATATTTCATGCTATCCACTGGAAGCCTGAGACTTGGGACTGTGAATATTCGTAAGGTACAAAGTACTTTGATTTCCCAATGTAAATATCCCAATGGCAGATCTATCTGTATCAATTCAGAAACCACTACTTGAGTTGCTCAAACTAGAGACAGCAGGTTTCAAAAATGATTTACGAAGAAAGCTGAAAATAGCCCTACCCTAGCAATCTTTCCACCATTGCAGTTTGTAATGCACTTCAGGGAAACGGTCAGCGTATTGGAAGCATGATGAATTATGAGTCTCTTAGAAGCTGGCACCATTTTTTCACACCTATAAAAATATGATAAAATATTTTTCAGACTCATTGCATCCAGGTTACTTTGAATTAAACCTAAGAGTAGAAAGAATCACTTTGAAGAACTGTCAACTTATGGATTATGGAATGTTTCATATATTAGGGATGTTCTCAAGCCTCTGTTATATAGCCTCCAAATTTGGTGGAGTGCCATCTTGATTGTGCACAATGTTTTCAGAAATGTTTTTATATTTCTTTTTAGATTAACTTAGAAAAATGTGCATTCCAAAAGATGACCTATCTCCACAATAGAAAAACAACATTAAAGACAATTGCCTCTTACTTGGTGCACTTGTAGTGCAATTGCCTCTTACTTGGTGCATTCTCTCCATCCAGTTGTTCAGGCTTAACAAACTGCTTAAGAGCTTACTGTGTCCTACTGTGTGATAATTACCTCTATTTGTAAAGCAACATCCACAAAGAGGTTGAATGTATCAGAGACTGCTTTGCAGTTCAGAAATTTCACTGAGAAAAATGAGCGACACAATATTTGCATAAGCTAACTAAAATGGACAGGTCATGTAATTGTGAAATACAGAATATTCAAAGTAGCAATCCGTTGTCATGACACTATCAGCATGCTATTCACAATTCAGCAATAAGTTAGCCTGATCACACACATCCGAAGACAACCTTTTTCCATTTCCAGAGCCACTTTACATAATTAATGAGTAGGTGTTGTATGTAGTACAATCTCTACAGTAAGCAATATCTCCAAAAGTTTTATCTTGCTTTTATAAAAGTTTCTAATAGCTGACAGGATTTGAAACCTCTGATGCCCACTCTCTGCTTCGAATCACTGGGTTTTACTTTGACGAGAAAAATGGCAAATCTCGGTGTTATCTCTCCCATCACTACCTTTCCCTGACCTGATTAAAAAAAGCAATGTGATTATGAAATGTAATGCAACTCTAAGTAGAAATGTAGTAGAGTAGACAGTAATAATTTGCTGTAAAAACCAAAAATCTAAGTACAGTATAGACATGTGGAAAAACATGATTAAGTATAGTACAGAATTTGTACAGAAACATTTATGTTGAAATTTTAAGAAAAAAACTTCCAGGGTTCAAATTACACTGTGACACAAATTTTAGGCCATAGTGCCTAACCCCAAGATCAAGCTGTTTCTGATGAGTTTGCATGCAGTTTGTGTGAGGAACTTATTCCACAGATAAATAAAATGAGAGTTGGCAGTAAAGCATTCTGCTATAGGGCCCCTATCTTGTGGAACAGTTTACCAGCCTATGTTCAGGATTCCGATTCGGTCTCAGTCTTTAACCCTCTGGAGTCGACAGCATTGTCGGTGATGCAGCGTATCTTTCTTGTGTATTTCAGTTCATAACTCGCTGAAATCTTATTGTAGAAACATGAAAAAAAACGCTGACTAAATCCATAATCTGTCTTTTTTTCAAAACATCCATTGTCAGAAGTATTGATGTTTTTAAAATTAGGCTAAATAGGCAAAAAAGTAAACCATGTCACCTTTCTTTGTTTTACCTGGATCGGGGGCGTGTAGTGCCGCTCTCACATGAAGATCGCTATTCACATTCTAAATAGCTGCATTAGCGTTTATTCAAATCACATTTGCATGGTAATTTTATTAACAGCGCAACAGTGAAACGTGATCCAGATACATCCCCATCAGCACCATAAAAAAAGGGGGGGGGGGGGGGT